CTTCACTTGCTTTTACGATTCTTATTTTTATTTCATCTTCATTTCATAATCTTCATTTTAAGAAATTTAACAAAAAAATTATTAACACTATGATAAGTTATAAAATTATGCTAAACTATTAATAAATTATCAACCCAAACGATAATAGATAACTTAAGGATTGCTTAAGCGATAAGTTAAGGCAGAAATTGTAACGATGGAGGTGTGTCAAACTTCGATTAATCGATGCTATTGTGAATCAAGTTCTCTGGTAAACTGACGCCTGTGTTTGTCATCGGGACAGAAATCAGAGCTCAAACAATGCCGTTCTATAAAAAGAACTTATGTTTTAGCTCGGGTCTCGACCACCCGCAGAAAGTATAACGGCAAACGTCGATACGAATGAAACTTTACTCCCGACGAGAAGGAGGCCAATGATACTCTTAGTAGCTTCACAAAGAAATATCTTTGGGAACGATTAAGTCAATAAAATTCACATCGTTGAGCTTGATTAATGTCTCATTAAATTAATAATGTTATTAATATTTTAGCTGAATACTTCGATCAACATTTCGATTAGTAGATTAATTTCTCGATATCAACATTTCGATTAGTAGATTAATTTTTCGATATCGAAAATAGTTTTATTAAAACTGTAATGAAAATTTAATTTCTTTTTCCTAATTATTTAATATCAAAAATTAAATTTTAAACAAATAGGTCCCTGATAAAATTTCTGTTGAGAAAAATTTATATTGATCTCTCTCTATTTTTTTATATTTAAAAATTTCATCTATCATTCATTTCATTTGTCGCATATTTTACTTATTGTTAATAGAATGTTTGCTTCAAACTGTAACTACTTCGAAAGAATTGTAAGAAGAGCAATCGGGCAAGAAAATATACAAGCCATTCACCATTTCGATCGATATCGATACCATATATTAACGTCGACAATAGCGACATTTCTATCGACCGAAGACGTAACAATTAAATCGTAAAAAGAGATTGCAAAAGATTCTCTTACGATGGTAATCCAAAGGAGTAATATAAAAGTGGCCTCACGTGAAGAAGTAATCAACACAAATGTGATAAGATGTTATCATTTAAGAGGTTGTGCAATACGACTCTTCTTTCAAATGGTATTTTCTAAATACCTTCTAATCTACCACTCTTTCGACAAGGTATGTATGATAAGTTGCTTATATGAGAAATGGCAACTCTTGTGTAAATAAAATTGACCTAATCAGCGATTCTCTCTTAAAGATTAAAAAAAAAAAATAGATGAGATTAAAAAAAAAATTCACCTACAATTGGGTTAGAGTTAAGTCTAATACAAACTTAATGAAATTATTCTTAAAAAATAAAGATGAATCATCACGTGTCAATTCGCATTTTAACTCCAAGAATAGATGATATTGAAACGAATACCGATATAAAAGTTTTGTATCAAATGTCGTGTTCATTTTCAATTCGCTACCAAACATATTCCCGAGATGTTATTTCCATAGATATTCCGTTTGCGGCGGGTATTTATTTGCGCAGGGGCCTCCGGAATCGCGAGCGTGGACTGCGTAAAATGGGATGGAATTTACATGAAATATGTCGCTATTCCGTCGACTACCGGCCCTTTTTTCCGCGTTATCTCCCCGCCACCGCGTGCATCTATTTCGCGTCAATGATATCGTTGACAGCGAAAAATGGCAAGAGAGATCCGACAGAGAAAGAGAGAGAAAGAGAGAAAGTCATTACGCGAGCTGGAGTTCCGATAAACGCGCGTGTATAATTGCATTATACGGCACGCTAATATCGTTACATCTTTGATAAATTATGCTACAGCCGGGCGCAACATTTTTTTTTTAATAAAATTACCAGCCAGAGAAAGCTTGCAAAGTATATATCTTACGAGCGAGCATGCGACGTATCACATAAATGTCGTTGAATATTTCAAGTTTCGTTGGTGTTCGTCCACTAAGCTCTAGAGCCTTTTTACGTTGCGTACGAATTATTTTATTTACGTACCTACAAATTATATAACAGCTCGCAAGATACTTCTTTTGTTATATTCATTTTTATTAATCAATTATCGAATTAATAAAACACAGCGCGTAAATTTATTATATGATATGCAATTCAATTACATTTTTGATATTAAAAAAAAATATTATAACGCATAAATATATTTATACGTACATATAATAAAACAATTTGAATAACTTATATACTTAACTCACAAAATATAAAGTTTCATGTTACATTTTTACTAACTTTTTCTTTGTTAGAGCAATATTTAGCAAACTACATCAGTCTAAAGTACAGAAAAACTTCTAGCCAGTTTACCTCTGAAAAAGTACAAGATGAAATAATAGCAATCCGTAGAAGAAAAAACAATGTAATGAACTGCAACTTCTGATTAAACGTCGCAGCGAAAATTATAATACCGTAATTCCACAGCTTGATTTGTCATTTGCAGTTATTGTGAGCGAGTTACGGTTTCAAATTCTGCAACAACATTTCATCGTTGCCATGGAAATTGCTTTGACGATGGTTTATTGGTTTCCAACTAGATGTAACATAATTAAGCGACAGCGCACATGACATGCCGATTTCGCGTTGCTGCACGCCACGTCAAAACGAGCTGCAATTTCAAACAATATGTACACAATGAATAGTTATTTTGGTAGAAAAGAAAATATTACGAGGCTTTAATTTTATTTCCCCTGCGTTACGATAGTACGAATAAATAGTAGAAACGGAATATAACTCGCGAACATGATAAAATGGTCCACAGTCGCGTTCGTCGCATTTCTAGGGTTCTTTCAAAATGCCGGGCCACGAAATTAAAGCAATTGCTGCCTTCTATTCATAGGAGTCATTATGTCAAATTGATAAACGCACGCGAGCGTTGACGACAATTGACGCATTAAAGAAGACGAGAGCACGATGTCAACGACCCGTAGATAATCATATATAGATGAAGATGACGTCAGAAAAGAATAAAAAGCTATGTGAAAACAAAAGTGACTAATTTTTCTAATCGATATATTCCTTCCTCGCGTGAAGAAAAATAATGTGTAGTTTTGATCTTAATTTGTAGAATGTAATATTAAAAAGGTAATGTATATTTAGAATTCTCGTTACATATCTCGTTAATTATTAACAATTCCTGAAATTCATACTGACCTAATTAAATCAATTCATCTTCGGTCATATTAAGCTATAAATGTCTCTCATGTTATGTTACTCTGCACGACGATATGTCGAAATGTTATCAGTTTAGGGGCTAATATCATTAGCACAATAAACTGTACGTTATTCCTTTGCGGCAAAAGGCTTTGATGCTATAGGCTTTAAAATTAAATTAAGCGAGCTGAATACCACGCTCTAATACGCAATTAAAAGTCACTTATGCGAAGGAAAAAATAATGTTTATAGAAATAAAACGGGATAACAAACTACTGATTCTATCTTGAGTAAATTTAATTTTAGGGATAATATAATAACAATGTAAATGCCTCATAGGGACAATTTTCTGTTATTAATAAATTTTCGTCATTTCGTCTTATTAGAAGGAAAATACGCGGTGCAATTCTACGAATTAGGAAACGAAAAACGGAAAATATTGGATCCGCAAATATGAAACATCCGTCGTAAGTGTATTATCAAGATTGCACAGATTACTCCCAAAGGAAAACAGATGAGATTGAAAATTCAATTGGGGCTCTAATGGAACTCGCATATGAGGCATATACAAGTTATTCATAATCATTTGACCAAGGAACAATATTCATTGACCCAGTCAAAATTCCCGTTAGTTTTCAATCCCTCCCTTCGCCTCGCGTCCCGCGTATTTCATTTTTCATCTCCAGTGTTTCTGCGACATGGCGTGCAAATTGACCGCGGTGTCAGAAATTTGGGTCACATAGTATTCAGTTTCGAGAAATAACGGCCGAATTGCGCTACGTAGTAGCTACTATCGCTTTTCCGGATAAAGTGAAACTTCGTTTATTCGAACCATTCTCGATACATGATGCCGGTTCCACGATACCTGGGGAACTATCGTAAAGTAGAACGTTCGATAATATCCCTTGGAAATTGACCGACGAGAATGTGAGATAGTTATAGAAGAGAGGATGTATTTTCGAATAATCTGATAAAATTGGCGGATAAAACAGGGCAATACAATTTTCATAGAAAGAAAAGAAATACTAAGAAATATAATCCATAAGTTGCAAAGTATAACTTTATACAAAGATGTAAAAATAGTACATAGTAACGCGACGTTATCTATGCGCACGGCAAAACGTATATTTGTAATACGTTGCAAAATTATTTTTACAGTTAATATTTCCGAGTAATGTTACATGTTTGCATAATCCGCTATGTGATTTTTTTTTCGCGATATATAGTCCTGCTTGTATTCAGGGATACCGAGCATGATATTACGAGCATAATACTGCATGACAAATGGATCGCGTGTCAGTTAAACAAGTAAGACCTTGCGCGAATCTGAAAAAAATGATAAAAATCACCGATGACGATACATCATCGCTTGATATTCGAATTCTCGATGATCGATAGTAATTTCATGTTCGGCGACACAGAAAACATACAGGATAGCATAAAGATGACAAACAAATCAATAAGCAATACATCATGAGGATTTTCTATGTCAAAAATGTTTAAGATACCGGAGAAAGTTTTTTATCTCTTAATCGTTTGTAAATTGAAAAGTTGCAACAACTGTTATATTTTAATAATATCTCTGGAAAAATCTTAGGGGTTCAACAAAAATTTTTCAAATTATAATTAATTATTTTTTATCTCTTGATTAGCTTACTTTGTTAACAACATGTGATTGTAATAGGCACATGTATAAAGGATAATACTGATATAAAAATATTTCTTCTAAAAGGATTCAATAATTCTTTCAGAATTATAAAGCGTCACGATGTTTGTGTCTGAATAAAGCCATCGTGTGCGATTTGTTTATAAAAAATTATACACTCATTTACACTTACCTGTCATTTATCACAGAGAAGAATTGCATTTTGAAGGATGCACTTTTAAGCACTTTTTATAATAAGATTGCGGTCCAAAAGCTTCTTTAGTAAAAGAACTTATAACAGAGAAGAATTTGTAACAAGTTTATCGTTAAGAAAAAATAAATGAAAATGAAAACTTAGCTTTACATTCTAGATTTTCCAGAATGCATTGGTTTCTACGATACCGTGAAGTGATTGAACTTATTTATGAATGACAATGTATTTTTACTTTGTCTTCACACAACAGAAAAAAGCCGTATACCGATAACTATATTATACGATACGTGCAGATAATTATTACGAGTTATTACGAGTTCGATGCACGTTTGTATGATAATTCAAGGTCGATACATTTCCCCGTTTACCAAATACAACGTGCGTCAGTAAACGCGAGTCGTAATCTTATCTGAACTGAAGACGATAGCGTTTATTAAACTCGAAGTTGCGCAAAAAAAATTCGATATACGTATTGTCGCCTTATGTAATATTATATCCGATAATAACGTAAATCGCCAACCAATGATCTCTCTTGAAATATAGATCGTAACAAACTTGTTTATTAGTAGCCATAACATAAATTGCAGTGCAAAATGAGTTTCGCGTTAATGTGTGCAATGCGCAGCATGTTGCGTCAGCAATTCTCGAGCGTGAAATGCAATTCGAGTGTCATTATGAAAATACATTGAAATTCATAGCAATGAAACAGCGTTAATAATTATCATCAATGAAAATTAAATAATTAATTAAATTATTTCTTTGCACCATTAAAAGCAAAGTGTTTATTTTACGGCTTTTAACAGTGCAAAAATTTATTCATTATTTGAAAATGCACCAAATTTTATCAAACGGCGTTAATTAATCCAATTGCTAATTACAATGTGTTTTAAAGTCGCGCAATAATTTGATTATTGGCGCCACCTATCAATTAATACTGCAACCAATATCTTTTCCTCTACCTTACATTGATAAAAAATAAATTTTTCATCTTTTGTAAAATAAAATACAGTAGAAAGATAACAATACTTTCAATTATTATATACAGTTCTAATAAATACAACAATCAATTAAAAATATATAAAAGTAAAAATTAATTTAATAATAAAAAAATTAAATGACATTAATTGCAACTCCCATGTAATTTTTTTCTAATGAATAGATAAAAATTCTTCAAGAAAATAAAAAATTTTTAAAAAGATTTGAAACTACGTATACATCTCGACTCAATCGGCAAAGTAGTTTCCTTCATAGAGAAATAGGAAGAAATATATTTCAACAATGCCAGTATTTGCGAATAATTAAAATAAATTAAAGGTCACCGAGGACAAGTGAGTGTTAGATCGATTTGACACCCGGTATAACATGCGCCAATCATCACGGTCGACTCGTTACCGACCATTGCCAATCAACTGGCAAAATCATTGACGCTGTTGGCGCCAATGCGATGGCCCAGATTTCGCGGCAATATAAACCGATTGGTTTTTCATGTCCTACTTTTTATGATAGCTGATCACGATTGAAATAATTCAACTAATCTCTAAAAAGAGACGCGAAAAAATAATAACAGAAAAGTTAGACATATTAAGTCGATAGTGCATTTGTTACTTGTAACAATAGTCATTCGAATTGTTTATGCCTTGTTTGTGTTATTTTAATTAGAACAAATTGCGTTTAATGTATAAGTAAATAAATTAAATAAATGATCAAAAATATATTGTAATAATATAATAATAATAATCACATTTATATATATGTATATATATATACAATATATAT